GAACCCGACCACAAGCACCCAGCCTGAGAGACAAATGACAAGAACTGAGAGACAATTGAAAAGAAGTGGTAGGCGGGTGGGGGGGAGTGGGGGGCGGGTGAAGGGGAGTGGGCGGCGGGTGAAAGGGGGTGGCCTGGGAGACAAATGACAAGAACTGGGAGACAAATGAGAAGAACTGGGAGACAAATGAAAGGAAGTCGGAGACAAGCCGGCCGGGAACCCGACCAGACCATCCAGCACCAAGGCGACCATTCTTTAAAGCATTGAGAACCCCTAACAGTAAACTTTTTGGTTAAAACATTGGTGGACATGTAACTTACCCCCCCACCCCCCATGCCATTTGTATATAGACCATTTTCGACGGCTCAAAACTTACTTTATTATACTTTATTTATTTGGTCTGTCTGTCTGTTTGTTTGTCCGTTTATCTGTTTGTCTGTCTGCCTGTCAGTCCGTGTCAATCTGTGTCAGTCTGTTTCCATCTGTGTCTTTCCGTGTCTGTCTGTCTCTGTCGGTCGGTTTGTCCGTCTCCCTCCGTCCGTCGCTCTCTCTGCCCCTCTTTGGGCGTGTGCCTCCTGGGTCTGAACATGTGGGCTGGGCGGTCCCCTACTTCTCAGCCCTTCTCGGTGTTTATGCTTTTTTGTTTTTGTGGGTAAAGGGGACGCGGCGCTTCGGAATTCGCTCCTTCAACACTCCTTCATTGCATTCTGATCCTGAGGGGTCTTCCTGTATGCCTTCTTGAAATTCTGAAGACCACGGTGCTGCTTGCGGTCAGATCGAATGCCGACCGCCAAAGCGAACCTTGTCACGCACTCTGACATAGGCATTTTCTGAGCTTGGCTGTGGTGAGATGAGAAATGCGTCTTTGCTGTCCAGCGTCATGGTAACGTGATTTGAGCAGCCGTTGAGCATCAAATGAACCAAGAGCTTGGGATGATCATGAGGGATGTTGTAGCGAATGCCTGTGCCATCCCAACCCTGGCTTGCATTTGTGGATTAAATACCGTGCCACCTGTCATCTCGACTTCCTGCTCCTCACTTTCCTTCATTGTCACAATTGCCAAGGCCCTCTCGATTTCTTTCTTTCTCGTCTCATGGTCAAGGACGGCCAGCTCTTCCGCGGAAACTTCTGGTGCATGGTTCTGAGCGGCGCCTGTGAGCCTGATTTCCGTGTCTAAGTCCAGGACTTTTCTGACTTTCTGCGCTGACCTCAAGATCTGTTCTGAACCCGCTTGAACAGTCCAAGGGCAACGTGCAGAATTCTCCAAAGAAAACCAGATCACCACTTCTGTGATTTGCTTCAGGTTCACCGTGCCTTTGCTTTGCACTGGCACTACGTGGATGGCCTTTGTCTCAGTTGATGCCATTCTGAGGCATGTACGTCCAATGGCACAAGGAACCCGAGGAAGGGGTGAGGCATGTTTGGTCGAACATGGTGGGACGTTTGAGTGCAGCGATCCGTCTCGCAAATTACTTCAAAGTGCATTGGGGAACCTCTTCCGGAACACACTACCTGGTAACCTGTTAGGGAAAACGGCTCCTTTGGACGACCTTTCTTAACTTCAGCCTCGGACCTTTATATACTTCCTTGAAGACCACGGCAACCAGCTGGAGCCCTAAAACTAACAGCCGCAGCCGCAATCCTCCTTCTTGGAACCGTGGCACTTAAACTTAAACCCGAGAACAGAAAACCAGCAGAAAACCAGCAGCAACAAAAATCCACTACAACCGAGCTGACCGTTGCAGTAGGTGTGTGAAAAGCCTTGAGTTCCTCCACCAAGGGTGGGATCATCGAGTTGTAGAATGACTCGCCTCGCTCCTTCGCTTGTCAATGCGCATCAAAACGATCAACATTTGCCGCGATGCCAGGGCCAAATTCCAATAATTGAAATGACATTCGGCAGGCATTCCGGACAGTGCCTCAATAGAAATGTTCAGCCGCTGGTATATCCTGATCGATCAATCAAATGTGGATAGCTTGACATGCCCCCCAAGTGCATTTTTCTCAGATGCTGCCAGCCTGTTAAAGGACAGCCTACTCACTTCGCAGATCTTCTGCCATGCAGAGCGTGCCTCGTCAAAATATGAAGGCCCGTTTCGAGCACACACTCGCATCTACGACTCTGACACAAGCATAGTTAGTGCATGCGCAATACAAGTGTGTTGCAGTGTGCTGCAATATTGATCACTATAGAACTGCACGCGGTTGTACAGCACTTGACAGGCAAGGAAGCACTTCAAGCCGGGCAAACAAGACCCCGCAGTGTACATTGCTAAAGCATAAAAGCAGTTCAAAAAATATATATATATATATATATATAGTGTCATGCGCTCAGATGCGAAAGTCATGGCCAAAGAAGCCCAGAATAAGGTCTTCCACCTTAGCAGTGGCACTTCAGCAGCGGTGAGACCCCAGCGAAAACCCAACCACTTCACAAGTGGAAGATCCTTTTAATTAACCAGTCTTCATCACAAAGACTCTCCCATGCCGTTTTCTGATTTTCACCGCGAAAACGATCTTTTGCGCTAAGCACTGCTACCCCAAAAACATCGATTCACGACAAATCGCCGAACATCTGCACGCTGCAAATAACTGCAATGAGCCACGGGTTGCCACAAACACGAACGACACTGAAAGACCATCCACCGCACGCCGCTACTCTTGCTTTGGCTATCTCGGGAAACATTTGCCCGCCGGCTCTGCCAAAGACTGACGGTATGCAGTACTCAATGATACGCGACGAAAACACCTAGATTCTAGATTTTACATGTAGATGAGTGCACCGAAGTGAGGTCATGCGCCCGACCGCAAGAACTATATATATACTGCAACTACAACTATTTACCTTTTAATACCTTTTACATCCTTTTACAATCTCTCACAGTCCTGCAGGCATTTCACACAAAAAGGGCATTTACAATGCGTCAACTTTTTGTTTTGCATTCATCTTTAGCGCTGACTTCTTTAGGCCGGAGGCGAACTCGCCACCAGCTTGTAGGTCAACCACTGCTAGCTGCGCACGTGTCTTGAAGTCCTGTCTGGCGAAGGTTGTGTGTCTGTTCCATCAACTTGCAATTCAATTTCAGTAGTTGAGAGCCGGACAGCATCTTCATCAAATCTCTTCTTAGATGCCTCCATCAAAGCCACAACAATAGTATTCTCCATTAGGACTAGGACTGGGATGCGGTGTGGTTGAGCAAGCTGGATAGTGCTTCAGACGGACGGCTCTTGAGATTCAAATTAAACTGACCACAGTTTTTTGAAAAGCATGCTGCGTAGTTCAGGCAAAAACTGCAATGAAAAAAACCGCTGGGTTCTTGATGCTTTCACACATCGTTTAACAACCAGGTATATACTAGCAACGGAGAAAGCAAAAGAAAGCTATCAAACCCGGCGTGAGCAATGATTGTGAACAGTTTCTACAAGATCTGCCTTGTAGAACTCCTGCAAGTCATGCACCTCAGGCAGCTGATCCTTACACAAACTCCGGGCACGGCCATCGCAATGCCTTCGCCTTGCTTTTGGCTCAGTCCTGGAAGTTCGGATATGCTTCCTTCATGTACTCGATCAGCATACCAAACTGGGTCCCCCAATCGCCGACGTGGTTGAGGCCTCACATTTCGCCCATCTTGGGCATTTTGAGGGTTGACAAGCGGAGCGTCAAGGCAGGTGCACTCAAAACAGCCAACCCTCATCAGGGCCGTGTGATTCGTCAGCTTCGGCAGGAGTCACTTGTCATTTACAAAAAGGCGTTGCCTCCACAAATTACATTGGGCACCGCCCGCTTTCATAGTGGCATCAGGCCTTGTCCGGTCTTCCTCACCATGTGACCTTTAGCAGGTTTGGGGAATTCCTGCAGTTTTCGTTGGGCTGATTCGTTGGCGTGCAGGCGTTGCATGCAATTTAAGTAAGTTGCTTGGACAGGGTTTCGTCCAACTTTAGTGCCGGTCGTTATGTCGTTGTTTATAGGATTTCATTGGGATGCTCGGATGACTTCAAGTCGCAGTTGATCCTCTTAGGTCCAAGTTTAAGATGCGCAGTGCGGTTTCCACTTATCACTGGATGGCTGAAGAAACCATGCTGGTGCCGGCCAGAAAACCTTCCGGACTCTACCGCATAAGCACCAAACTTTATCCAACTCTAGCCTCTAACCTCATACCATAATTTTTTCTCATTACATGCAATACAGATTCACCCTGAATTGGCGGGGCTCCATTTTATGCTTTCCTGACTGAGGAGAGTTTTCCGTCTTTCAAGTTACACACAACTCCTTTTACGGTACAGCGATTCCACCCCTTGACAATAACATCTTGATTGACATCGGGTTCGCGACAGGCAAAGTGTCCTCCAAAATCACTACCTTCGGGGTGTGTGCAGGAGCTCTCTAAAAAAGTGGTATGCACAATTATGAAAGAATCACTTAGGAGATCACCCCTTTTGGCGCACGGGCCAAATTTTTGTAGTGTTTGTTAATATCCCTGTGTCCCCTTTGTATGGCTGGGGGATGGTTTGGGAAGCGCACTGTGGACAACTCTATCAACCGATAAACCTTCATGAGAGAGAGAGAGATATACATATATACTCACATTTTTTTATGATTCCCCAAACAGTGTGGGCACACTGAGGGGTTCTTACGGTAAGGGAAAGGAAGGTGTGCTTAGATCGCTGTGCGTCGCGGGCGTGTCCGGCCAACTCGCTGCTATTTACAGTGCATTCCTGCCTCTCGACATCGTCAATGCGCATGTCGACTGCGCAGGCTCGCAGAATGTGGGGGCCCGTGGCAGGTGCTTGTCGTGACTGCGCTCTCGTTGTGGTGCCGTGCGCATATTGGCACGTGGTGATCACTTTTCGTTGCAGGCACAAGGGAAGCCTCATGTTTTGGTGCTCCAAAGTCGACTTTTCGTGAAGGTGCAAGGGATCGGAGCTGTTTGACTTCGAAGTCCAGTTTTCGTGGCAGGTGCAGCACTTTGGACATGGTGGTGATCGTCGAGGAGCTCAGATTTCGTGACAGGTGCAGTGAATCGAGATTTTTGGAGTGGCTCGTTGCAGATTTCGTGGCAGGCGCAGCACTTGGTGCGCCTGGAAGTGCAGATTTCGTGGCAGGTGCAGCACTTTGTGAACCTCGACGTGCGGATTTCGTGACAGGTGCAGCACTTTGTGAATCTCAAAGTCCAGATTTCGTGACAGGTACCGCACTGGGTCACTCTCGCCCACACTCATCTCCCACACCCACTCTCACTCACACTCGCACTCACTCAGTCTCCCACTCTCACTCACACTTACGCTCCCTCACACTCACACTCACACCCCCTCACACTCTCACTCTCGCGCACACTTACTCTCACCCACACTCACTCTCACTCACACTCCCTCTCACGCACACTTACTCTCACCCACCCACACTCACTCTCACTCACACTCGCTCTCTCTCCCACTCTCACTCACACTCATACTCCCTCTCACCCACGCTCACTCACACCCACCTTCACTTCATCACCACCATCACCTCTCTGGACCCCAGTGCGTCTAGATCTCTAGACTTTCCTCTTACAGACCTCACGCACACTGTTTGGGGTCTCTCGCGGGATAATGCTTGTTTTTTACCTTTAATCGTCTCCATACTAGAACCCTTTTCATCACCCTCAACCAGACATGTTTGAAACAATTCTATTCCCCACATTGTGTTGTGGGGTTTTTGTTTTTCTTGCTGCATCCTCCGTCCTTCTTCCTTCCTCGCCTCCTCCTCCTCCTCCTTCCTTCCTTCCTCCTTCCTTCTTCCTCCTCCTTCCTTCTTCCTCCTCCTTCCTTCTTCCTCCTCCTTCCTTCCTCCTCCTCCTTCCTTTCTCCTCCCTCTCCTTCCTTCCTCCTCCCTCTCCTTCCTCCCTCCTCCCTCTCCCTCCTCCCTCTCCCTCCTCCTCCTCCTCCTCATCCATCTTCATTCAATGACTTCATCATTCATCATTCATCATCATCATCATCAACACATCAACACACAACGCAATGTGGGAAAGACGGCTTCTGTGACACCTACAGGCTCGATCCGTGTGACAGGCGTGGCACTTTCAGTACTTTTATAGAGGTGTGCAGAAGCTTGGTGACGAGCCTGTCCTGTGGGCGCCACCTCGTTTTGTGTGGCAGGTGCAGCACTTGGAGCTCCCCAAGGCTCGATCTGTGTGGCACTTACTTGCTTCTGAGTGTCTGGTAGCCGACGACATCACTAGCAAATGTTGTTGCAGAAGTTATACGCATGCAGTTTTCTTCAACGTGTTCTGGCAGCAGTGTGTTCTTTGGTTTCACTTCAACCGGTTCCTTGATGTTCACGTAGGAATCGAACTCCATGTGCGCGTAGTAATGTCGTGCGAGCAGTCACTCAGCCTGTTTCCCCTTATTACTAGATGTTCATGTGTCCAGTGACCGCGCCGACGAAGTGGCAGCGTTGCATTATTACTTGGCGCTGCGGAGTGGATGTTTGTCAGGAGCTTGGGAAACCGTGAGATTGATGATGCAGACAGATGTTAAAGTGAGATGGGTGAGTAGTAGCATGATGGAGTAGGTATCTGACGTATGTCTTCGCATCTATACGTGTCAGGATCATGCGCTTCGATGTTCAAGAAACTTGTAGGCTCGGGTTTGTGAGAGCATGATTTTGAGCGACAGCGCAGACTTTGCCGCTTGTATGTGACATATCTGAGCTGGTAGTACCTGAAAGCAAACCTCACAATCCTCTCGACATAGGTCCATGTAAGCGCTCCACTATTTAAAACCACGCTTCCGAAACCATCAAAACTATCACGAAACTAAGAGCATATCGGTGCTTGACTTGATTCAACACCGCGTTTCTTTTATATACACCCCAGTAACATAGAGCATTTCGTTCTGGCAAGGGGTGATCGGTTTCCTCGGCGATCCGTGCGGGATGCTCGCTAGTTCCGTTAGAGTTGTACCCCACAGCAGGGCACAATGTGCAGTCTATTAAAGAAGGGTTGAGTCTTTCCAAGTGCTGGCATGCACAGCCGCAAATGATGCCAATTCACATGATCCAAAGCCTTGTCGACAACACTCACCAAAGGGTCAGTCAACTTGGAAGACCTTCTCACAATGCAAGTGTGCGAGCAACGACGAGCACACTTTTCTCTATGGCACGGAGAGCAATATTGGGCAGAAAAATTCTGGAGCCAATTGATTTATGCGGAAGCTGACTGAAGATTTCTAAGTACCAATGGCTCGAGGAAACAGGCGCTACACGCGTATAGCGTAGACACGGCTAGCGGAACCTAGGACCCTACAAAATACAGAGGGAAGGGGGAGGAGGGATTGGGTGACGACTGTGTGACAACCTCAGTGAAGGCATGAGTGACTAAGTCAGCAAAGAAAGAAGTAAGTAAGTGGCCAGGTTATTGAATGAATGAGTGAAAGAATGAATGAATGAATGAATGAATGAGTCAGTGAGTGAGTCAGTGCGTGAGTGAGTGAATGAGTGCATGAGTGAGTGAGAGAGAGAGAGAGTGAGTGAGAGAGTGAGTGAGAGTGAGTGAGTGAGAGTGAGTGAGAGTGAGAGTGAGTGAGAGTGAGAGTGAGGTTGAGGCAGCACATCCGCGTGTACAGACGAGGCATCTCACTCGCGTGTACAGACGAGTCACCTTTCGCGTGTACAGACAAGGCGCCGCCCTGCCGGTGTCACCAATAAGACTTGTGCGGAAATGCTCGAACTCAAATCTGGAACAACCTTTGTGTCGCTAAGCTAAGTCCAACCACCCAAATGATGCTTGCGATGTGTGTGTGTGTAACCCTTGGAATCAGAGGGAACCTTAAGGTGTGGAACGATTTGATGTCGCTTTCGGTTTTCTAGTGCAGGGGGACCAGGCATCTTGCTGCTGACCTGGTCTAACAAAGCTAGGCAGCAAGATGGGATACTGGAGTTACCTGCATTTTTTCCGGATGGCATGAGGCTAAGCCCAGAACCTCACTTGCTGCAGACATGAGCGATCGTCGTCATTTCGCCCTGGCCGTCGTCCTCGACCTTACGCTTTT